ACTTGAAATTTATTTGATAATAATTTTTATAATATTCTTATGAGCCCCCACCGCCCCTTCATTGGCACCTTAATTGGGAGTTAATTTTCCATGATTCCCTCCTTTACATTCTACAGGCGACGACAGTTCCCTCCGTCCCCTTGAAAACTGTGTAGGGTCTCGTAAGATCCTCTGCATCTCTCCTCCTCCCCCTCTTCAAGGCGATAAATAATGACTGGTCTCTAAGTGTAAGACACGAGGTCATGTTGTACAACTCTAGTTTAAGGGAGCCGTCTACTCAGATTTTTGCTAATGTAGTGAGTAACTTTAAGGAAACAAAACTCTTTAACAATCTTGTAGAAAACTATGAAATTTTTCTCAGGGCATCCTTTCAGAAAGATCTATTCAGGAAATTGAAATCGAGATGAAATGATTAAACCCTAGTTAATTATTAACTTCTGAACTTCACATCATTGACCGGGGGTTGCAGTCTGCCCTCCGTACTTCTTTTCTATAGAATTCATAGAAAATGGTTGAAACTTCTCAGGAACAACTACCGTGGATTAAACTGTGATCCTATGGAGCGGATTCGGGATAGGGTCCTTGGTGCTACTATGGCAACCGAACATTTCCAGAGAAGGATGTTGCTCTAATATTTCTTCAATTATATAACTAAATCCAATTTTGCTCCATAGGATCACAGCTTACAACAAAAGGATAGCCTGTGCCAAATTTCACACAAATTGGTCATAAAAATAAAGTAAAAAAATGGTGGGGGCAGATAGCAACTACCACGAAAGGGCAGTTTTGAGAAAACTGCTGTTAAAGTTGACACAAAGAAAAACTCCTCCTTTATAATTGAAGGTGATTATAGCATCTTTCAGCACCAAAATATCACTCTCCAACAATTTTGAAATGAAAAGAAAGGAAAATTAAGTATTTTGAGTCAGTTTTACACTCCTGACTAAAAATTAAAGGCTCCAGCCTCATATGTTGTGCCCTCTTTGTTAAGTCTCATGTTCTCATCCCTTTTCCTTGCTTGGCTCCTAACAAGTCTGTAATTTTTGTGTTTTCACTGAATTCCATTCTCTGCCTGTGACACACTTTCTCTGCACAAACTTATCGTAGTGCTGGATAATTTTGTTTACAAGTAAAAAGTATCATTTCAAGCACTAAAACTGCATAAATAGCTGTACCATTACCTGGTGAGCTTCCTTATCTAAAAACATTTGTAGCGGCATTTCTATTGCCTCACTTAACTTTTGGCCACTAAGAGTTACTAGCATCCGATTTCTTCCTGCGATATCGTCCCTGAATCAAACAAATGACGGAATAAAGGAAATAATCACCAACTAAAGAGGTTCTCTATTAGACGACTGTGAACGTATAAACATCATATATTATAACCGAGGATTACCAAGTGAAGATGAGAGTTGCTTTTGCAGTAATGAACACTACTTAAGCAGAAGTGACAAGGAAACCAGAAAAAGAAAACTCAGGCTTGTTCGGGAGTTGACTGACCAAGAACCTTTGCGATACCGATACAATGCTCTGCAAAGTGAGCTTACAAGCCAACTNTATGCCATGGATTAGAGCCAAGATGTCATTTGCGCTCATTTGTTCAGCTTTGCTGTATCTGAGAGGATCACGATCCATCAGAGGAACCCTCGATATCATCGACTTGGACTTCTCCCTCGACTTCTCCCACGCTACCGCCTGTCCAACGTAGTTTTGTGAATTTTACCAAGTTTTATATATACTTTTTTTAATTTTTTAATTTTTTTATCTCTACCTTTTTTTGAATTTATTAAATTATTATGCTTATGTTTTAGGGCTAGTGTAATTTTATCCCTTGAACTATAGAGACGCATTTTTATTTTAGCATCGACAGTAATAATATTGATGATGATGAAAAGGATTAGATTGTAAATAGGATTTAATTGAAATCGGAACTACTATTAGGTCGTTTTTACTTTTAACTTGTAAATGGTTATTTGCTTTGAGTGTTAATAAAGTTTGATATTATTATAAAATAATAATAATAATAATAATAATAAAAATAATTGGGAAATGTCAAAACTCACCTAAGTTGTACACAGATAGTCGTAACCGGATCATCCCATGTGGATGTTCAAATGAAGGACTAACAATTGAAAATTAGGCTTACAAATCAATGACGGTTGCATAGACAAAGCATAGGATAAAAATTTTAAGACTGACCAAATACTATGAATCTGTTTTTTATAAGCACAAACCTTCACTTAGTTTTCTCTTGATATTTCTTTTCCTATATTAGTAAAAGGATCTGAATACGAATCACTAAGTAATTTTTGAATAGCACAGCCATGACTCTCTTGAATGAACTATGAAGCTGACATTACAGATGCACCTTTAACAAAATAGTTGTTAACTTATAGTTTTTACTTCGCTTTATGTGATATTTAGGCTGATATCTACAACTGTGGCTGCATCGAGGGACTTGAATGCCGAGAAGCTGGTGTGGGAAATTACTGGGGTAGATGTGTAAAGGTCCTGCCACCTACCGAGGAGCCTGGGTCTGGGGTCGGGGAGTAGCTTCGTTATCATGCCGTCTCACTGCTTGACTGTGCCGCCGATATATTTCAAATTCGCTCAGTTGGCATCATTGGTGTAATATCAATTGTTTTGAACAAGAAGGGATAATAAAACATGGCAAATGAAACCTTACTTACAATGTGGTCCAGCAGTAGGTCTAATCTAGTAGTCGTTCAAAGGGAAGACTAATGCCTCAAATACTTGCTGTTGTTGTAACTGAATATTCAAATGCTGCTATTTTCTAATCTTCCTTAATGTGACTGGCACATTGAACATTTGTATTAGATCGTGTTTTAAAACCTGGCGAGATGATAATTTCAAATACACTCGCCAATTGTGAGAGAGCCATGACCCATTTGAACNCTGCCACCTACCGAGGAGCCTGGATCTGGGCTCGGGGAATAGCCTCGTTATCATGCCGTCTCACTGCTTGACTGTGCCGCCGATATATTTCAAATTCGCTCAGTTGGCATCATTGGTGTAATATCAATTGCTTTGAACAACAAGGGATAATAAAACATGGCAAATGAAACCTTACAATGTGGTCCAGCAGTAGGTCTAGTCTAGTAGTCGTTCAAAGGGAAGACAAATGCCTCAAATACTTGCTGTTCCTCTGAGTAACTGAATATTCAAATGCTTCTATTTTCTAATCTTTCTCAATGTGACTGGCACATTTAACATTTGTATTATATCGTGTTTTAAAACTTGGCGAGATAATAATTTCAAATACACTCGCTAATTGTGAGAGAGCCATGACCCATTTGAGCTTCCCAAAGGGAAACAAAGTATCTAATTATTTAAAGGGAAAATCGGTCTTCAATCATTTGATAGTTCGATTTTGAACATCATTGAACGACCTCAAATTTTTGTTACCAGTCAATCAAATAAAAAAGAAATTCTGTACAAAAAAATGCACTAAAAAAGTTGGATTGACGCCAAATAATAGCTTTTGTTTCCCAATTTTTCTTTCATCCAATATCTTTGACATGATGCAAATGCTCGCAGAAAAAGCAAAATATTTATTGAAATCACACGTAACTATATATTCTACAATCCCCCTTATTATCCATGCCATTCCTGACTTTTTAGAGACGTCATTAACATCTTTCGCGAAGGGAGATCATTTTCGGTTTAAATTGGTGAGTATTCGTGGTCCCTGTAATGTCGTAAATCAATCATGTTGGATCACGTGATTGCGGAGAGAGAGAGAGTTTTATTAAAAAAATAAGTACGTATGATGCACGATCCTCGCAGTATATAGCGCTATTTATGCAATAGCGAAAATCAGACCCGAAAAAGATCAGGCCTGTACGGGATTCGAACCACTGACCTCTGCGATACTAGTGCAGCGCTCTACCAACTGAGCTAACAAGCTAAAAAAATAAGGTTTTTACTACACGCAGGGCATTGTGGTTCATTTTACTTTAGCTCTGTTCGAGACTGATACTCTCGATACTACAGTCCCGGGGTCACGTGCAGAGTTGTAGAGTTCCTTTCAAGAGCTCTTTCTTGCATAGAGGGCTTATTAAAAGATTTATTGATTTTATTCCCTTTTTTTTTTTTTACAAGAGTTAAAAGACGTTTATAAATATGGATTTAAAACATTAGATTCATGATCTGTATTTTCATTTCCTATGAATCTATGCAATCAGTCGATGAAATGAAAACGAAGATGTCGTTAGTTTCATAAGACCTTGGCTTGTCCTTAAGGTAAACGTGAAATAATTGAAGTTGATGTAAACTTTGCTAGCAACTGTACAAATAACACAAGGGAGGGTTTTGTAAGATCATTCTTTGTTTGAATTTCGAGCTTACTCTCCACCATCTTTCCAACGTAACTAAATTCACAATATATCTACTTACCATATTTTGTTATATGAATATGTAGAAATCGTGTCACATATGACTTTTTCTCATTATTACCAATAACACGTAGCTTACCTTATACAAACGACCATTATATCCGGGCTAACAATGGCCAATTTTTGAAAATCCGAGGCTTCATGTCAGGTCTAAGTTCGTTTTCACTCATTGATTTTGGCTAAATAAATGAATAGATAGTCATCAGTATTGAGTATCAAACTCAAAACCATTGGAAAGCTATAATTTTTAGTCGTTGCGGCGTCCTTGTTCATAAAACCTAATGTCAACCTCTCAGTAAATACGAAATCTGTAAGTGGCCTTCTCTGGCTTCGAACTATAGGCTACGTGCTAAGTTTTTGCGTTATAGGAGTCCAGTATTTGTCAAGGATCAGCTCCTTTCACAGTTCCTGTGAGGATGAGCAAAGGCGGTAAATTTTTAGCTCGTTCATGGTGTGAAGACTGAGATAAAAATTTTCTTTCATGATTGTTTTCGAACGAATCGGAATCTCAATGTTATGAATTGTGTCAAACAGCTAATCAATTATCCTTTCCAAGCACGTTCCCTTTGATTAAATATACATTCCTAAAACTAAAGAAAGGCGCCAAAATCGTCATTTTGAACGTGCTTAAAGTACCGCTTTCTTTGCCCCAGACGCGCCTCAAACAAACTTCACACATGGGAAAGAAAGTTTGAAAGCTTAGAACCCTACAGCAACTTTGATCTGTGAACAGACCTCGCAAACGCTTGTTCAGCACTCAGTGGTTCACAATGGATGGAAGTGAGCAACGTGGCAAAAACAAAGCGTATAAGTGGGGTGCTTTTCATCCCATTTTCCCAGTAGACAAAAGACCCGGTCAGTATCTTACTCACCCCTTGGAGAAATGAGTTTTCTTTTGGTATTTTTAATCGGCTAGCAGCTCTCTCTGTGGCCATCCAGGGCGAGGCCAAAATAGAGGAGGATAGCAGACTCACTTAGCGTGCTAATGTAAGTATGCAATTTTACTTGAGAACAAAGAAAAATTTACATAGTTAAATTCTTGATCATGTAAATTTGTGGCAGCATTTAAGGGTATCGAAGTAATTCAAGCGATCCCTTCAGAGTGGCGCGTTTTTCTCAAAAACCTTTCATAACATCCAAACCCCCCCTATTTGCTGATTACTTTAAGAACTTGAATGATCCCAAATTAGTTTTTCAAGTTCTGAAGGGAAAGAGACATAAAAACTGTTCTAAGTTGAGCGATGTCAAGGCTTTCTCTTGGTCAAGTATCGTTTTTAATTAAACGTGGATTGAATGTCACATTTTAGGTGATCCAGACGTGACAGTTTTGTTTGAACACTGTGGAACTTTATTTGGACAAGGTAGGTTTACTTGAGAGCATATGTATTCGCATGAGGTTCATTCTTTCAGTTACACACCAGCCGATAGGTCTGGAACGAAAACGATTCTGTTTGCACGCGTCTCTGAAGATTTTGAATCCGGAATGTAAAAATTAAAAGTTTAGGGTTCGCGTAACAAATATTTGAGGGAGACCTCAAGACGAGCCGGGACTTTGTTCGTCTGGTAGAGACTGTGACAAAATCCAGTGCTGTACCAAAGGAAACGACAAACATGGAGTATGCAAGAGTCTCGTCAAACCTGGGCGAGGATTCTAGTGTCCATTAAAGGTAGGAAAGAACAAATAATATTGTTTACAAACACCGACCGGCAAGAACGGTTGTCGAAGGGTTAGCTAATTTTACATTAAAAGCAGCCAAAAGTATGAATATCATCCCATGAAAAAAGTGTGAACGACTTCTTTAGCGTATACTCGGAAAATAGTGATTCTTGCAAAGCGTGTGATTTTTTTTCCCCACCAAGTTCCACATTATAGACAGCGTCTGAAACTGGTTTAGTGATCAAAATCCCAGCGGCACAGTCCCTCAATGAAATTCATACTATCACTCTGAATTCTCCCTCCTCCCTCGAAATTAATTTTTGAAATTCAAGGTCGCTTTTGCTAGGTTTGCCAACAACTTCTCCGTTCCTTTGTTGGTATCTTATCGCTAAATCGTAACTTTCTAGGGCTCAAATCTTCATGGGAGACTCAGATCTCCTTCTTCATCCCATAAATGATTGTGGTAAACGTTGCATATCCTTCTTCATTTGCTACATTTTCTTTTCTTTTCCCAGCAATATGTTCGCGAATGTCCTTGTGTGCCTGGATATTCCTTTGAGCAAACCACCAACAGCACCATCTGGGGAAAATGTCTGCCAACCGATGGAGGATCTGGGTCTGGGTCAGATTACTTCTAAATCACGCGGTGAAATGAAAGAGAAACAAGCACAGATGATGTGTTCTGAAATATTGCATTGAGTAAAATAACAAATCATTGGCTCGTATGGGATGTGCTGGTCTTTATTCGCTCTCAAAAGATACCGATTCCAACTGACATGAGGACATCAGTTGAGCTAACTGCTACTAGATATGTTATCAGTTTCCCGAAAGAAAGCGCGTGGTGTCGACAAGAGGTTGAACAGTTTAATAACTAGCTAGAATGGAGAAAAGATTAAAAAAAAGCAAGTTCCTGGGAGCTAGAGTTTCTGAGGTAACCCCGTATTCTGACAAAGTAACCGTCAAAAAAATTGCTACGGCTACTGTTCTACTTCTTTTGAACTTCCCGCTGAATTATCAGCCACTCAAAAAGAATCCCCATAAAAAGCGTTCCCTTTTTACTTATTTCAACTATTTAGATTGTGCAGAGAAATCCAAAACTCTTTTAATCTCCATGAGTCCATAATTGCGTTCCCTTAAGAATAACAAGGCGAAAGCTTAATAATGACGGTCTTTATGACCGATTGAAGACTGAATTCAGAGTATTGGATACTGTGCCACGCAAAAAATTATAGAAGGGAGGAAGGGAAGGGGGGATGTAATGGTTAAGGGGGGGGTATTGAAAGTGTAGCCATGGTCAGAATTAGGGAGTATCTCCTGAGAGGATTCTTGGTAAGGAAATTACTAGGTAGGAGCTTTGGAACATAACAGTAAGCAAGTTCCTGGGAGCTAGCGTTTCTGAGGTAACCTCGTATTCTAACAAAGTAACCGTCAAAAAAATTGCTTCGGCTACTGTTCTACTTCTTTTGAACTTCCCGCTGAATTATCAGCCACTCAAAAAGAATCCCCATAAAAAGCGTTCCCTTTTTACTTATTTCAACTAGTTAGATTGTGCTGAGAAATCCAAAACTCTTTTAATCTCCATGAGTCCATAATTGCGTTCCCTTAAGAATAACAAGGCGAAAGCTTAATAATGACGGTCTTTATGACCGATTGAAGACTGAATTCAGAGTATTGGATACTGTGCCACGCAAAAAATTATAGAAGGGAGGAAGGGAAGGGGGGATGTAATGGTTAAGGGGGGGGTATTGAAAGTGTAGCCATGGTCAGAATTAGGGAGTATCTCCTGAGAGGATTCTTGGTAAGGAAATTACTAGGTAGGAGCTTTGGAACATAACAGTTTTTAATTATTGCTGATATATCTACTTTCGGTCTTTTTATGCTACTCACGAAGCATTCTATTGAAAAAATAAATTACCAAGTGAACCTCCAAAGGCCTGTTCTTTCTCGTGAGAAATGATAGTTACTTCCTTCCAGCTTACTTCTAAGCATTCTCTTTGCTTACAGAAGACTTGCATGTATCTTTCTGTCACGTTTTACCGACTAAGTTGACCTTATAAAAAAAAAATACTCAAAAGCAAATCAGTGATAACACGAACGTAAATGTATAGTTCAGTGCAACTTCCATTCATAGAACCATCCTCAGCGGCATCTCGAGATTTATCTCTCAAAGAGTTCATGGTCGTGACCTTGGTGGTTTTATTATAAGGCGACAGCTGTAAAGAAGCAGAACGATTCTCTCCATCCCCACATTACAATTAGAAGGACATTTTCCAAGTTTAAGAGAAAAGATGCATAATATCGATCACTTTTCCATACTAATATTACTCCTGCGTTATTAGATCGACTGACTCGATCTTATAACAAGGCCCAGAGGAAAACCTCGACATATGATCTTGTATCGATTTGTGATCCAAGTTCTCCATTAAATTTGCATACGAAGATGGTGAGTCGTTTCGCCTATCTATAAATGCAAAGGAGAGACTGCGTAACCACAGAAAGAATTGCTTTAACTATGTCAGATCGCCTGACTATTGCAATCCATAGCCATTGTCTGCCAAAGTCATTGCAATTCATAGTCATTGCAATCTATAGTCATTGCATTCCATAGACAGTGCAATCCACAGTCAATGCATTCCATAGTCATTGCATAACATAGACAATGCAATCCATAGTTATTGTAATCAATAGTTATTGCAATCGATAGTCATTGCAATCAATAGTCATTGCAATCCATTGTCGGTGCAATAACAAACATTATCATGAAGCCATTAGTTTTCAAAGATCACATAGTCACTACTGCATAATTAGATGCTATTGCACGATAATTGACGATGGCAGGGCCCGAATAAACCATCAAGCATAGAAATTGAGAGCCAATAATAACACTGTATTGGTATATTTACTTTCTGTTTAATAGCTAACAATAAGATAGGATCATGTTTTTATTCTATCTTGTGCACAACCACTCACTGTTGGATTGCTCAACAACTACCCAAGAATAGATAGCTATTTTTGATACAACGCTAAAGGAATTTTACTAATAAGCTATGACGCAATTCAATACATGTACACACGAGTTCTCTTCCAGTCCAGGTTCCATTTTCTGAACAACCTCTTACTGTTGAACTGGCCGCCACAGATCCTTCCTTACAAAAGAACTTGCATTTCGTTCCATAGAACATTTCTGACCCAGTTGTATTACATCCCAAGAGTACAGCATTGAAGGGTAATGATAACATTGGGCAGGTAATACCTAAAGAAAAGATAAAATGGTAACAATTTTGTTACATGTCTTTCTGCAGAGAGGCAAAACTGGATGCTTTTACCCTCCTTGGAAATTGATTATACAAAGTTTTAAAGCAGTTTCGAAAGGAAGTCAATTCAGGCGTACTGAATTGGCTCTAATCAGCTTTCTTACCTAAAAATATTAATCAAACTTCATAAACTTAGTTTATTTCCTTTTGTTTTGTTTTATTTCGTTCCTTTTTTCAGCTCTGAGTTGCGATGCATCAGTTTTAGTGTGCCATCTCATCGAGTCTCTGTGCTAGTCCATGACCCATCATTACTAAGCCCCCTAATTCCCAATCCAATCAGATTAAAGCCTCGTTCGGAGGTAAGGCAAGAAACTAAATTTTTCCTGGTAAATGGTTCCAAGAATCATCGCTTCTTACATTGGGAGGACGTTGAAGAGACTCGTACATTATTGATAGAGTAAAGATCGGAAAATAATAAACTTACAGGAATAGCTGTCACTGGTGGCAGTTATACATTCTTCTTTGGTTTGGGTGCTTACAAAGAGACTGTAGCCAAAGAAATTTCAATCTTAGAGTGATATGGGATGTCCTCAGGGTTCCAATTTTGGACCGTTATTATGGAACATTTACCAAAATGATCTCGTTTACCTGGACCGTTCAGCTAGTCTTTCAATGTATGCTGACGACCACCAACTCTATTATGCGCATAGTAACATAAATGTCCTTATGGAGAGGATCAAGTATGAAGGGGAACAAATGTCGGTATGGTATAAAGAAAACCATTTGGTTGGCAACTTGAACAAATATCAAGCCATGATTATCGGAAGTAAACACAAGCCATCTCAGCTGACGTTAGACATAAATGGCCATCTCATTAACATCACTGAGGGACTTAAAATATAGGTGTCACTGTAGATAAGGATCTGCATTTCTCAGAACATATTTCAACTATCTGTAAAAAGGCAAGTAGGCTGATTGGTGTTTTAATGAGGCTCAGGAAATTGATCCCTACCGAAGCCAAACTTCAGATCTACAAGACAACGATTTTACCCCAGCTTACATATTGCAGCCTAGTCTGGCATTTTTGTAAGGGGTCCGATTGAAAGAAACTGGAACGCGTGAACGAAAGAGGTCTCAGGGCGGTTTTCTGTAAATGGGATTTGTCATATAACACCTTATTAAAACGCGCTAATCTTACTTCCTTATATGATAAGCGTCTTCAAGATATAGCAATATTCATCTTCAAGGTCAAGCATAAGTTACTCCCTAAGAATATTCTGGACTTATTCAGCGAAACGCCATCTAATTACCATTTGAGAAATTCTGATTTCTATATCCCACCATTCAACAGTGTCAGGTATGGGAAACATTCACTGACGTTCTTTGGACCACGAGTCTGGTCCAAACTTAGCCCTAGAGACCGAGAGAGACAGACATTAACGGCCTTTATGGCCAATATTAGGAAAAGAGATCTCAGTAGCTTGGTGGAGAACGACTTTTGCAACGGAAACTGTCCCACATGCACTTCCTAATATAGACTTTAGAGCCGAATGAACATTAAAGATCTTATTAAATAAGTCGTAGTTTGACTGTAGCTTAAAGAGTTTATATTTCGACTTCTGGATATGTTCCTTATCATTGTATTTTATTGTATATAATTATTTTTAGCTTAAAAATTTTATCATTGTAAATTCTAAAGATTATTGTACTTTTTAGGTAGGATGGTGTCCTCGATTAGTAAGCCTATTACAGGCTAGCTAGAAGTTTGACACTGAAATAAAGCTATTATATATTATTATTAATATTACAGCGTTTCCCCACACAAGTGTACCTGACGATTATAGGGTAAACCGGGCTTTTGTTAGAAAGCGGCTGGAGAGGTCCCAAATGAACCTCTTCTCAAATCTTTGCAGGCACTTTTTCAAGAAAAGAGGTACCCAGAAACGTGTGAGTGGAAATTTGTATAGTCTGGTTTGTGAGAAGAGAGCACTTGAGACAGAAAGTGTTTAGAGAGCTCTAGTTGAGTTTCATAGAGTAACTTTCAAATCAGTCTATTGGTAAATGGTCGAATATCAAAGAAATAGTACTTAAAATACCAATTACCCAAGGCAGAATTGTTTTACTACCCAGTTGACGCGTAGAAAAAAATTTTAAGCCGCATTTTTCTGTTTGAAGTACGAAAACCGACCCTAGGCTAAATGAGAATAGTTCAGTCCATTAAACAAAATTTGATCACTGCGTCTAAGAATGAAAAGTTTTCTATAACATTTTTTAAACTAACTCTCGCAATGAGATTGCCTTCCGCTCCAAAGCCCGTTGTCTTGACATTTCCTCAAGCTGGAGCCAATAAGCTTATAACCTTCAAGGCAAGAGAACTGACACTCTGTATTACAGGGATATACTGTTGCATTCCCAGGGCATCCATGTCGTATGCTATTGGCTGGTGACATCAATGCTGGCCACGTCACAGCTGTAAAAGGTAACATTTATTCCCAACCATTTTAGGAAAAACACTCAGCTGATTAACATTGATTAATTTTTTTGCTGCGAAGAATGATTGGGTAGGCAGCTTTGGAAAACGACATATTTACTACCTCATTCGCGCGATTAATGGACTCTGCAAACGTATAACCATAATTGCATACGAACTGACAGACTGAACCATTGTTCACTTTTGGTTTGTCTAGACACCCAAATTTTGTTCCATTGGATGGTGAAGGTAGCCTTAGGCATGTGATTGCTAAAACAAAAAACACCCCTCATAAACATCAAATAGATCACCAGCTCAGAGTCTGCCCGAAAGATTATCTCCATTCATGATAAAGTGATCATCATTTGTGTTTTTTATGTTTGCTTGAAAATGTTCTTAAATCTGATCAATCGAGCTATTTATGGTCGTTTTGAATGAATTGAGGTTTATTTTTAGCTAGCCCTCTTCGGGTAAGTTAAAAGTTAAGGCATTCATCAGAGAGACACAATTTTATTGTTAAAAAACACATGTTGACAAATGTACAAATGACCAATGCACCACTCCGAGGTTTTGGTACTATTTTACCAACCTGATGGCCGCCTGTAGCTGTCAATTGCCACTAGTCCCATAGCATCACCGTGGGACAACGATAGAACACTTAAAACTGTTCCATTGGAGACGTCAACTTTGTAAATCCAATTTCTTCTCCAACCAGTGATGAACAAATAAGGGGAGATGAAGGTAACTGAATAAAAGTTTAAACCTTTTTGTTGAAAGAGTAGAGTTCTGTTGTTCCCACCATAATCAAAGGATTCGATTGTACCCCTTGACTCGTCCACCCAGTAAACAAGTTTGTTTTGTCGATCAAGCGTGATACCACTTGGCCAAGTAAGATTTGATGTTACTATAGCAACACGTTGGGTTCCGTCTAAGTTTGATTTCTCGACTTTTGGGGCACTTCCCCATGCATTCCAAAACATCAATCTGTAGACGGAAGCACCAAATTCATGATTTCTTGAGTTTCCTTGTTGTATCTTCTCTAGATTTCCTTTGTAATTCGCATGTTTGAATATTCTCTAAAAGCAGGTTTATATAAAATGCGAGAGGAGGGTCAGCTATGAACTCTATGCCATGCGTTCGTAACGGATTCCGTAACACAAAGGAAGTATGTATATTAAAAAATAAAGAAAATCTAGTTATACATGAAATCCATTGAGCTAACCGCCTCCCGGTTAGCTCAATGAATAGAGCGCTGGACTGATGCGCGGGAGGTCGAGGGTCCGACCCCCAGCCGGACCAACACTCAAGGTCTTAAAATAATTGAGAATAATATGCTGCCTTTCTATAACATCAAGAAATAGTTTAGATATTATAGTCTTCTCGGATAGGGACG